AATCCAAACATTTCCTATGGTTTTTTGGATTTTACCCAAAGAAAAACAACACGACAATGGACATCCAAATCCAAAAACAATTGCGAATCCAACGATTTTGTAAAAAGTTTTGGAATTTTGGATTTTTGGATCTTTGTAACAGTTGATAATGTCTTATGCTAGTCCGTCATGAGGTTCAAACATAAACACAACTCAGCCGAGTCTCGTGGCACAGTCTTGGGTATACGCAGCTCGTTTGTTGCGTCCGAACCATTGATTTTGGGACACAGCTTTGGGTGGGTTTGTGAGTTCTGATAACTGCAGTCATCGGTACTTACAGTTGTTTCTGTGTGTTGTACCTATCGAAGAAAGACGGAGTTGGATCATGGGGAGGTGTGACCATATGTATATGTATGTGTATCTGTATCTGCATCTGTCTATGTTTATGTCTATGTCTATGTCCATATCCATGTCCATGTCCATGTCCATGTCCATGTCCATGTCCATGTCCATGTCCATGTCCATGTATATGTATATGTATATGGATATGGATATGTATACCTTTTTACGCATAAGCCAATATGTATACATGGATGGGGCGAGGGCTGAAAGAGCTGAATCCTACTAACTACACATGTACGCCGTCCGCGTAGCTCTTTCCATTTTCACTTTCAGATTCAGTCAATGCGTCGCTTTGTCTCTCGCTCACTGTCTGTCTCTCTTCTCTGTGTCCAAGGTCTGACAGCTCCGTTCGCTTCCAGGACTTTGCGCGGCTGCTGTTGCGCCAGGACACTGGGACAGTGTGCAGACCTACGGCAGAAGGCATCGACACAGGCAAAGCACAAACAACATGTCTTGAAGAAGCTTGAACCAACCGTCTTCATCGACCATGCTGCATGGCAAAAGCTGATACCCCCGAACTACCCCCAGCTGCAATGGCTGATTGGGTGCTGTAAGTTGCTGGCTAGGTAAGAACGCCGTAACTGGCTTGTCATTGCTAGGCCGCTCTACGTGATATGCTTGTGATACTCATGATATGGGGTAGTGACGTCTGAAATTTGAAATTTCTCCATGACCACTTCGATAATCATGGTGCATGTGGCCATTATGAAGTCAATATTTGCGCGATGGAGTTGTTTTCGATAGTGACAAATGTTTCGATTACACTCTAAACCAACATCCAAATGAAAAAGTAGGATGACAAACTGAAAAAAAGTTGGTGTCATACAAATCCGAAAGATAAGATATGTTTCAATGTAGATGCAAATTGAAGCTTTGTCAAGAAAGACAACACGAGAATCATAAGTAATGAGGATAAAGCAATCATTAAGCCTCAGTTAAACACATTGCGGCGCATCAACACCAACTCATCCGAGGGCACTCACGTTAGAAGAGAAAAAGGTTTGAAGGAGACCATTGGAAGCAAACCTTGAAGACATAACGACTAAACAAACAACGGTATTGATGTTGGGTTGTTACGAGCTACTCGGATGCAAGATTGCTGCGTGAGAAAGGTTTTGTTGGAAACCTAGACAAGGCAATTAACCAGTGGATACGGATAGTCGTGCTCCTAAGGTTAAAGGAAATGTTTATATCGGCAAGTTCGACAAAGGAGAAAGTAAGCAGCCCAATCTCGAAGCTTGCAAAGATTACGACACTAGGCAAAATCCGATTACAACAGGCTTGCATTTGAATGACAGCATTTGCAGAAAACGTATGCTTCAGAGTATAGAAGCATTATGCTAGTAAAATTGCGGAGGAAATCATTAGCCAGGTCTTGCGTCAGTCAAAAGCGGCGTAGCGGAAGATGAATCTGAGGGCATCACGCTTCATACCCGATTGTTGCACTAGCAAGGAAACACGGCATAAAATAAACGAAATGGGCACCAAGACATCGGGATCTAGTAGGATGGTTGTTGGGTGCTTTTGCATTTCGGACAGTGTTTGGGAGTATTGCTTAGATTTTGGGAGGTGCTTTGTGTTTTTGGATCGTGTTGTTGAGGGTTGCTGGGAGTACTTTGTGTTCCGTGCGTGTGGAAGGGTTGCTTTTTAAGGTAAGTTCAGAAATGGATTTCTCTGTGCGAGTGTGCGTGGGGGGGGGGTGCTTCGGATTTGGTTTTGTGAGTTGGGGCTTGTTGTTGAGTTGGGATGTTGCTTTGAGTTTGGATCGTGTTATGGACTATTGCGTAGATTTTGGGAGGTGCTTCGCCTGTCGTGGTCTTGGGAAGCTCGTTTTCTTAGTTAGGTGTATAAGCACGCTACGTGGCTGCGTTCCTCCAAGGCATCATTGTCAATAGGACCAACGACGACAGAAATCCCGGACGTGTTCTCGGGCCCTCGGATCGCAACGCCTTCAACTGCGAAAGCGGTCTGTCGGGTTGGCCCTCTGTTTTGGACTTCTGTAGGGCGCCACGTGCTTTTCGGAGGCGAAAAGCTGTTTGGAGGCAATGTGCTCAACCGTGTGGGAAAACATACATCACGATAAGAATGCTTGTTTCCAATGTGTCAAAGTCTTCGAACCTGTGCACGTGTTTTTGAGGAAGCCGGTTTCGGACAAGATGTGTTTGATGCAGGTTTGGGGTGTTGCCAGCAGTGTCAGATGCTTTAGCTGCAGCAGCATCACCACCAGCGTGGGGTACGACGACGAGCAGCATCATCAGGGTTGTATCTTGAAAGCATGGCTGTATGCACATCCCACCACGCTCGATTGTGGAATGAAATCAGGCGAGAGACTACTTACCCAAACTATTTGCTCAGTGTACTGCCAAATAACAAAGATTCGAAGCGCAGAAGTGATCTTCCACATTAGTCACGGAAAACCGGAGAAAGCTGCGGAAGTCAGCAAACTGGTGCAGTGGCTGCTCCAAGCCCTAAGCCCGAAGGAAGGGGAGGCATGGGGCTCTTCTCCCCTGCCAGTTCCATTTTTCTTCACATTTCCCCTTCAACCCAGAAGTGGCTCTTGTTGTGCGTAGGTGTGGTGCTGGATACCATCATCTTCGTCATCGTCTCTAGAACGAAGACTCGTTATCATGAGGTCTGCACTGATGATGGCAGTGATGAGTCTGTCAGGCCGATGTGGTGCGGTGTGCAAGGCAGGATGAAATCCCATCCGAAAGCCCAAGCTCTCAGCCGCCGCACGAATGCCCAGCTATGGTGGACAGGCCCAACTTCAATGAGCATCGGTAGGAGTTCGGTCTGCATATCGTTCCTGCAAGTCAGTCTCGTCTCGAAGGTCCCCGAAGATCCTTTCCAAAGCTGAATCCTTTCTCCAACACAACAACCCTATTTAATGCGCGATTGCTTCCTCCTGGCGCCTTGTGCCAGGAGAACCTGGCTCGCGAGTACGACGCAGCGCCTGCGCCTGCAGCCCAGCGAAAGTCAACTCCGTTACGGAGCCTGCGGCCAAGGTCCGCTCCCACACAGCGGAGTGGTGGGGAGCCGAGCCGAGAGAGACTCCGAGAGGTAGAGGTTGCAGTGGCATTGCAGTGGGCACCTCAGTGGGCACCTCAGCGCCTCGAGGTGCCACCACGCCCAGGAGCGACGCGCCGAGTGGGAGCCGCCCTGGAGGCGCCCTCTTTGCGCGTGACGAGGGTTCGGGACCGAGCGGAGCTTGCGAGTGCTTAGGCTGCGGTGCCTTATTTGGTGGGTGTTTTGTCGCTCTGATGGGCCCAGCCCAGGGCCTGATCTTGCGCGAGCCGGGGCACCTGCCTCGCGTGGCTACCCGACGCCGCCCTACTACGAGCCAGAAGAAGTGCAGAGGAGCGGGCTCCAAAACCGAAACGACCGGACCACAGACGTTTCCAGAAGGCCCAGAGACACAGAGCTCGCCCGTGGCCCTGGCCCTGTTGCGGCCACCTCGGTGTGATAACTTTCACTTGTTTGCTTTCTGCCCTGTGCTTGGTGTGTTTCTGCCTGTCTGTGTGCAGAGTCTGCATCACGTTGCGCCCTTTGCGCCCTCAGGTGCTTCCCCCCTACGCCCTCACTGATGAGCCTGCGAGCTCCTCGCGTCCCGAGTCGCAGCCGGCGCGAGTGCGACCTGCGGTCGGAGGCTGCGTCCTACTAAGCCAGTGGGACACTTCGTGGCTGGGTGTCTGAGCTTCTGAGCTCCGCGTTTGCTCCGCTTGTGCTCGATCGCAGGTCACGGAGACATCCTGGGCTGGAGTCAGCACGGGCCGGAGGCCTCGCCAGAGTGCTGAAAGAGTGCTGGAAAAAGAGTCAGCTCTTTAGCTCTTTCCGAGGAGCGTGCGCAGAGGCGGCGAGTCGCGGTGCCAGCACCGCAAGGCCCGGGCCCAGACCCCGCAAAGATCCGCTGAAAGGCAAAGCCGCTCTGTGAGATCTTCTCAGGTGCCTCCGCGGGCTTCCTCCAATGGCCCCAGGTGCAGGCTCCAATTGCGGATGTCGCTGTGCGGGCTCGCGGTTACTGCGGTTGCAGCGGTTGCAGGTGCAGGAGGCCTCAGAGCCCGGCAGGCCGGGCAGGCCGGGCAGGCCCCGAATTCTGCGGGCCCTGAAAGCTCTTTAAAGCGGGCCCCGTGGGCTCGAGGCGCCTCTACGGCCGAGCTGCGTCGGCCTCCGAGTCGGCGCCCTTTGGCCGCTCCTGCGACGTGAGCGGAGGCGAAGCGGGCGAAGCGCTTTGCAGTGGCGTAGATTCGATTCGCATGTGTTTTCTCTTCACCGCAAAGCGGCTCTTTTTTGTTGCGGATCCAGGCAGAGGTGCGACGGCCCCGGGTGCGGGAACCGGAACCGGTGCCACCGCTCCCTTCGGCCCGGAACCGAGAGCTGAGATCTCGCGCCCCGCCGCCGCCCGCCGCCCACACTTGCAATTTTCAGGCACCGATCGGGATCTCCAGCTCCGGCGCCCCGAAGATGCAGGCGCTGGACAAGCCGATCACCGATCTTCAGCAGTCGGCCGTCTTTTTCGAAGATCTGGCAGAGCCTGAGCCCTGAGATATTTCAGACCTGCGTCACATGCACGAGCTCCTGGGCCCGAAGTGCCGCTGCCTCGAAGAAGCTGTGTCCCAGCGGCTGGCCGTGGCAGGCACCGATGAGTACCGCGCCTCACTGGGTGCAGGGCCGAGCGCTATCCTCCGAAGTGGCCATCAGGGGCTGCACCTGAGTGTTGACGCCTGCCGCGGTGCCACAGCGGTGCCACAGTGTCCTGTTTTGGAGATTGTCGGGTCTTCTTTTGCACAGCCGATGTTCGCAAAACGGTGCAAAGGGGCGCCTCTTCCCAAGATCCATCCATTTCTTGTAACCAGTGTGGATCGCGTGTGGAAGGGTCGGCAAGAACCTTCTTCCGTATCAGGGTAGGGGCAGCTCAACGATATCAGAGTCATTGCACGCATTCCGATTGCACACTTGCATCAAGGCATCAAGCAAACAGGTTCTGGTGCTAGGAAGTGTTTCAGGCAACACGAAGGATACGAACACACGCAGCCATGCTCGAACTATGGTTGCCATTGATACACATACCGTTGCCATGTCAACTCTACGCGACCTGGACAATCTCCAACAAATCCAATCTTTGCTTAGTCCAACTTCACCACCAAGCTCCAAAACTTCCAGCACGCCCACGCCCACAACTTCAACAAAGTCAAGACTCGGTCTCTCAAGACCCAAGAAATGACCGGAGTTACGGGCGGCCTTGATGTCAACTTCTTGCGGGTAGTTGGGTAGTTTGTGCGTTGGTGTCTTCCTTCTTCCCTGATGTCCCATTCTTATTTATTGGGTGATATTGTTGTTTTGAGCTCCGGCTGCAAGAGCTGGAGACTCAGTAGCGAGGGCCCCTAGCCACCCTTGTCTGGAGGTGGAGTAGGAGGCGGGGGACATTTGGGGGGGGGGATTAACTTGCCAACGCAGCACCATACATGAAGGGCGTACATGTATATCTTGCTTATTGCGATTCGTCATTGCTTGCATTCGAGGTCTCTGGCGCCGCTGACACATGATCTGAGTCGTGCTTTCCGAGGTGCGAATTCGGTGCAGAAGGCTCGCAGTGTCAACTTGTTGCAAAGTTTGCGGCTGTGGCTGCATAGAACCTGTGCATATTTCGGTTTGTGTCGGGCCGGGCCATCTAATTAAGCGCTCCCCTGTGCCCGCTGCTGCCGGCAACTGGCCAAGCAAGAGGCTCGGAGGGAGCGAGGAAGGCGAGGAAGCAGCCGCTCGCAAAAAAAAGAGGACCGGAGAGGCGCAGCTGCGCCCGTTGCCACGGCGTGTTGCCATGCCTTGCCATGCCTTGCCATGCCTTGCCATGCCGAGTCGCGAGCGGCATCGGCCCATCGGAGTTTCGGTTCGCCAGGCTTCGGCCGTAGGAGCCATGGCCGGAAAAGGGAAGGTGAAGGCGAAGCATGGGGCGAAGACGGGAGCTGGAAACCGAGGAGCAAAGAAAGGTCAAGGGGCATTGCGGCCAGGTGCGACACACACACCCTCTCTCTCTCTCTCTTTCTCTCTCGTGTCTTGTGCAGGCGTGTGTGTGCGTGTGTGTTTGTGTGTGTGTGTGTCAAACCCTGTTACTCAGGGTCGCTGTATTTTATCATGACAGGGGGACAGCGGTCCTTGGTACTAACCCTGTCCGCCGAAGCTGGGTACCAAACCAGGAATCTTGAGCTGATCACTCAGGTGTACCTGCAAACAGCATGGCCACCCGGAAGTACTCTCAACTGCTGTTCTTGCTGCATTGGCCGAGAATGATTCTCGTGCAGGGGAAATGACTGAGCCTTTTGAGTCCAGATGACAGGTTCGAGGCCCGGTATTGTCATCGCACATGGGGCACGGGGATACTCCCAAAGCCCCCTTGGTTTCTGTGTTTTTTCCGGTTAAATCCTCCGGGTCTGAACTTCTTACCGAGTCTCGTCGGTACAAGATCCTTCGGAGACTGTCGTCGTTTGGGTTGGGCCCAGATGACTGTACTATGACCGGTTTTTCCAAACCTTTTACAGTTTACTGCATGTTTCCAGTGTCCTTTGATACCACTCGATTTACTCGGTGGTATTAACATGGCAGTTTCGCGCATCAAACTATGTCGATGTCGAACTGGCACTACGATTTTTGTGCGACCCAACGAAGCCTGTTCCAGTTTGTTGTTGTACCGTTGGCCCATTGTCCTGACTATCAGCAGGCTTGGGTACTGGAACATGAAGTCACTGCGCCGTGGCAACACACAGCTGAATCTTCCGTTGTCCGTTGGCTATGCAGTTTATCAAGAAGACTGCGCTGGGGCATCGCGTGTCTACGAAGCGGTGTAAACGTGCCTTCGCTCAGACTCTGGAGAAAGCTCGGCAAGTGCATGCACAAAGATCGGCAAGCTTCTTTCCCAAGAATTCTTGAGAAAAAGCCCGGAACCTGGTTTTTGATCTGTCATCGCATAACAGGTCTTCCTTTGAATCTACCAATCAACTACATTTGATCAACACAAGCGTCCGAGGATGAGCTGTATGCCATCATCAAGCTGAGTAAGAGCAGCCCAGCAGGGGTCGTTTGCGAAAACTGGCCTTGTTTATCTCGGCAGTTGAGAGTGCTGCAGTTGGCACATGATGATTTCGAGCAACAGGTGACTCAGATTCAAAGCACGCAGCGGCAGCAACGGATGTTGCAGACGATCCCCAGTGGCATCTGGAAACGGAACTCTTGCGCCATACAGCACAAAGCTGAACTCCCTCGAGGAACTGTGTTTCTCAAGTCCAAAAAGCAAGTCCTTAAAGGAAGAACTATTGTTTCAAAGGCTGGTTCACTGTTCGGCAAGTTGCCTGAATTGGCAGCCATCTCTATCGCGATGCTGGTTCATGCAATATTTCCGAATGCCCCGTCATGGCTTCTTGCCGAACATTTTCACAGATTTTTGTGAGTGGAACGATGATTTGGTAGGATTCTTTTTTGCTGTCCCAAGAGCTGACATCTTGGAATCGGTTGAATGGCTTGTTCTCGAATACACGACCCGGTTCAACCATCAGCAATTTGCCGTGCACATGGCTGAAAAAAACAGGTCATCCAGCCAAAGTTTGAAGTGGACGTCGATGTCCGCGCAAAACAATCTGGCTTTCTGACGCGCCTGGAATTGTCACAGTGTCATTCGACACAGACATCTTTACTGCCGCAGGCAGATGGCGCAAGCAGCTTGAAAGGCACTTGCATAGGCAACCACACATCGCCGATCGTTTCTCATCCTTATGGGCTGTCTGCTTCATCAGCACAGTACTGTACTGTGACCGCCACATCGGCGGTGCTCTTCCTCCGATGCGTTGATAATCGACTCCTGCTGGGTTCCAGAAAGCAATTACAAGCCCCGCTGATGATTAAGTTTTGCTTTCCAAGCTGATGATTAAGTTTTGCTAGCTCTTGTCGGGGAATCCAGCTCGAAAAGGTCGAAAACCCATCGCTCGCTTGGCTATAATCATTGATGCCCAAGCCAAGACCGCTCAGTACATTCTGCCAGAGAAGCCATGGCAGTTTCGTTCTCCGTTGAGCGCAGGGTCATGGAGACTCAGTGCATCGAGTTATTTTTCCAGAACGGCCCTTACCAAGCAGTACACCTGGCCACACCATGCCTGCTCAATTTCCGACAGCTGAAGGAGCTGTGCTTGTGTGCAGGCTTCCTTGAATTCATTTTGAAATGACATCGGAGCTATCGCAAACATGCTGTCCGTGCCAGAAGTTGGTCAGGACTCGTCTTTGTTCGATGCATGTAGCTTGATGCTTTTCGGCTAATGTTCAGGCCCAAAGTATCTCGGTCGCTTCGTTGCGTTGGATGATATTATATTGTTCGATCTAGTCAGTGTCACGGGCGATCGTGCCAAACATCCAGCTGTTTCGAAAACTCAAGGAACACAGACCAAGAAACGGTCAACAGATGAGGCCCGGAGCCCACTGATTGAAGTACCTGCGGAGGGCGCTATTTCAAGCCTCGGGTTGCAATCCCTCAGCGACTCTGGTTCTGGCACTGATAAAGCTTCCGAGTCCAAACAGACAGCTAATGATCTTCGCGGCAGAGCCTTGGCCAAGCTGATGGTTCGCTGTGGCGTGCGATGCGCTTGGCATTTCTTGAAGAAACACCTGTCCCACGGAGCCATCAACAAACTCCCTGTAGGAACCGTTTCGGTGCTTTTCTTGTTCTTTGTAATAGTTACAACGATGTACCCGGTCATTTGCACGTGCTGAGCAGCAGAACATCATTATCTTATAGTAATGCTGAGTTTCTCTTGCATGTTGCAGTGGCTAGCTGGAACTTGCGGCGCACGCGGTGCTTCGGAATTTTTGTGCTTGACGGCGCAACTTCTCTGGCCCACTTCCAGTCTTGCTTCATGTCGTACGTCTTCGACTTGTTGTTAGGGCTCCACCTCCAATGCTTGGAGAAGGCAGAGGAGAAGGCCATCAGATTACCTGATTACCTTGCTGGGGATCAACAGAACGTTCAGGAGGCAGAAACAGCCCCGAGATCCCCCAAAAAACACGGGAGGCATCGCGACCTTAAACACCGACATCATCACCGCAGGCAGGAGGTGGAGCGAGGACAACATATGGAATTCCTACGTCCAGATACGGACGTCCATATGTTGGAACACCTTGAAGTTCAAGTCGTACATTTTGACTCTTGAGAGAGCACTCCAGTACACGGACTCGAACTGAGACTGAGCCCGTCAGCGTCACTCAGCTGTGATATTGTGGTTGAAACCATTGTCAGACGTTTCATTCACATTCTTTGCAGCAACGCACGAGCATGAGATCAGGACTAGCCATCTCGGCTTTGTGTTCGTGGAACCCCGTTATTCAGGGCAGCTTTATCATGACAGGGGGACAGCGCTCCTTGGTACCAACCCTGTCCACGGAAGCTGGGTGCCAAACAAGGAAGTTTGCGCTGATCACACAGTTGTACCTGCAAACAGCAAGGCCACCCGGAAGTACACTCAACTGCTGTTCTTGCTGTATTGGCGGAGGAATGATTGTCGCTCAGAGGTAATCAGCCTTTTGAGTCCAGATGACAGGTTCGAGGCCCGATACTGACATTGCACATGGTGCATGGCTCCATTCAGATCTTAGATTAAAAGGTCGGAAGCTGCGGATGAATGCGCAAGTGTGTGCGTGTGTGCACCATTGTGACACTTAGGACGTCGTACGACAGCGCATTGAAAGTTTGCATCAGGCTCCGCTTTGAAGCGCTCGGCGGCGTCCGCCAGACCCGGGCGATCCGTGAAAGGCGAGACACGAATTTCGAAGCCTGGCAGCCACCTGCGCTCCGAAGGCCTTTGGAGAGCTTCAAAAATGGGTGTTTCAGATGACGTCGTGATTTTTTCAGGCACCATCAAGCGGTTACAGCTCTACAACTCCAAGCCGGATCTCAAAAGAAGGAAAGAGCAGGCGCTTTTGCCTGTGCGCATCCAGCCGGACCGGCGCTGGTTCGGCAACACGCGCGTCATCGCCCAAGACAAGATGCAGCACTTCCGGGCACCTCGGACACCACCAGAATCTCTGCGTCCATCCATGTTCCGGTCCTCCACCGTTTCTGGCAGCGGGTGCCAGGAGACGATTGCGAAGGGTGTGGAAGATCCGTATTCCGTGGTCCTCAAGAGTTCCAAGCTCCCCATGTCCCTCCTCCGTGCTGGGCTGAGTCTCCGAGTCTCCAATGGCCGAGCTGCGTCCGAGTGTCCGAGGGGAGACCCAGGAGAAGGCCTCGCGCATGGACCTTCTTTCCGTTTCCCCCTTCCAGGAGGTGAGAGAGCACGCTGGGTCGCTGCATAGCGTCTTGACTTGGCCATGGCCCAGGTCTTCAGCAGGAAGCACCAGCAGAAGCGTGCGAAAATCGGAGCCACAGACCTGGAAGGGCTTCTGGAGGACAGACGCATGTCATTGCCTGCGCACATTTGTTCTTGCCTTCTCTGTCGATCTAGCGCCGCAGTTAGGCTGCCGAGAAACGGGCGGAAGGCTACAACAAAGAAGGCAGCAACCGCGACCACCGCGCCCTCGTCGATGCTGATGGACACCAGAAGGAGGAGGAAGAGGCTGGTGGCCACTTTGGCGAGGAAATTTTCAACAAGGGCACCTCGAGAAGAATCTGGGCCGAGCTCTACAAGGAAGGGCAAACAAGTCTGGGCTAACAGTTGAATGCATAGCGGCTGGGCGGCTCGGAGGTCGTCGATGCTGCCGACGTCCTTTGCTTCGTCCTCGATGCCCGGGATCCCATGGGCACGCGCTGCAAGCAACTGGAGAGAGACTTGCCACCCCTCAGGCCCCGCGAACCTGCAGACACATGCGCCCACGGACTCGGGCGTATGCGCACGCACGTGCGCGCACGCACCGACGTGTATACCTGGATGCGCACACATATGTATGACTGCACACATGCAGTCGTGCCCGAACAGCAACGGACGAACGGACTGCCATCGTGGAGTGGAATCCTTCACTTCACCCCTTGCTCGCTAGCGCACGCATGCGTGCCATTTGTCTTGCGTGCACTTGCGCGCAATCTCCCGCCGCCGGCCCGGCTTGCCTGCGCTGGACAGAGAGCTGGGGGGGGGGGCCTGGAGAACGTGTCAATCTGCATGGTACGCAGGGTTGTCTAAGCATTTGTCACTCCATCGATCTCCTTCTCGCGCCTGTGTTGGCTTTCAGGCTGAGAGTTGTTTCGTTTAAAGGCTCCCTTGCCCAAGGCTCAAAAGCTTCCCCAAAGACTTATGTTGGCCCAAGTGCTTTCAGCCGTTTGTCGTTGCATATCTTCGGAGTGTGAACCGAGGAGAGCTTCGGAGGAGCCGACAGCACAAGCACATTGTCCTCCTCATCAACAAAGTGGATCTCGTGCCCACGTGGGTGACGCGCCGATGGGTACAGCAACTCACGAGAGATTTTCCCACATTGGCTTTCCATGCGTCCATCACGAATCCCTTTGGCAAGAATGCCCTTCTGAATCTGCTGCGACAGTTCGGCAACCTCTTGAAGGAGAGACGGGGCCAAAATGCTAAAGCCGGGATGCCAGGGCGGGAAACGGACTGCTTCTGAAACGAGAGGAGAAGAAACATGTGACCGTCGGAATGATTGGCTACCCGAATGTAGGCTGCTCGTCAGCAGTTTTCGTGTCTTGAAGCAGGATTGAAGTCGAAGTCAGCTGGGGTTTTGCTTTGAGAGGCAAATCTTCCGTCATCAACACCCTCAAGAGGAAGAAGGTGTGCAAGTCCGCCCCAGTGCCCGGCGAAACCCGGGTGTGGCAGTACATCGCCCTCACGAAGCTTCCTGGCTGAGGTGGCTGATTGCGGGTCGGGTGATAGGAAAATGCGCGCAAGGAGGCGCCGCTTCTTTGCTCTCTTGGCTTCGCTGAGGCGAATCTATCTGCTGGACTGTCCGGGCATCGTCCCACCCACTGCGAGCGACTTCGCCCAGGACTGCGCCAAGGCCGCGGCGGAGTCCCGCATAGCGCCACCGCTACAACCGCCACAAAACCCCGTCTCTCCTCCGCTTGGATCCACTCGGATTCCATCTGTTCCCTCAAGCTGCCGCCGCTGTTGAAGCTGGGGCGGACTGGCTCAGGTCTTGAAGGGTGTCGTGCGAGCAGAGCGTCTCAAGACACCTTCGGACTACATCCACGAGGCGCTGAGGAGGGCAGCGTACAGACTGCACTGCCTAAGGGTAGACCGTCATAGGTGCTGGAGCGCGTGAAGAAGCCCTACTTGCTTCAGCGATACCGCCTACCAGCGGAGACCACCTGGCGTGCCACTGTGTGGCGATGGAGTGCAACTGCATGTGCACGTGATGCATGTGCATGTGCTCAGCTCCTTCGCGAGCTGCGGACACTGAGAGCCTCTGAGAGCCTGAGAGCTTAGGACAGCGAGGAGTTCCTGAGCATCTTGGGGAAGAAGATGGGGAAGCTCGTGAAGGGCGGCGAAGCAGCCGCCCGGCCTAAGGCTTGACCCTGAGGCCACTTGAGGGCCCCAGGGCCACCCATCACAGTCTTGGTCCCTAAGCCAAAAACCAAAAAAAGGCCTCGACGCTTGAGTGCAAAGCTGAGCCGCGCCTGGGCGCCCAGGACATTGACACGGCGGCTCGCATCGTTTTGTACGACTGGCAGCGCGGCCGAATCCCCTACTTCACAGCACCCCCCAACGAGAACGAGAACGAGGAAAATCCCGAGGAAGTCGTCGCACGGGCCAAGTTGCAGAGAGAGCCGCGGGCCGCCGCGCCGCCTTGAGCAGGAAGCAGAGGCCGACACCGAGGCCTCAGCTGCAGCTGCAGCTGCAGGAGCTGCAGGAGCTGCAGGAGCTGCAGGAGCTGCAGGAGCTGCAGGAGCTGGGAGTGATGGCGGTGAGAGCGTGAGTTTGGCGGTCAGGAGAGCCGAAGGAGTCCCTGCAGTCCCTGGCGGCTTTGAAAGAAATCCCAAAGGCGCACGCTTTCGATGAGGAGGCAAGCGGGGCGTCTCGCTTTTTCGCGAGTTCAATTGTCCCCACTCGCTAGGCCGCTAGGTGTCCTGTACAACTACAAACTCCAAGAGTCCGTCAGCCAGATGTCTTACGGAGCTATACTCCTTCTGACTCCGTGCTAGGGCTTCTTCTAGTTCAGTAGAATGCACACCCTCAGCGCCCATCGGCTCTCAGCGTGGTGACTCCTATCTATCACTAGCCAAGTTGCATCGATGAACCTTTCGAGCTGGTCTGAGCAATTTCGATACAACATGTTGTCGTCTTTGTGTCTGCGCACGGGTGGAGCGTGTTTGTGTTTCGGCATGTACATGTGAAGCTCATCAGCATGGCTCTTTTGAGGACCGTGGAGGGGAGCCTGCAGAGCCGTCGGCAACTACTGAGGCCTGGCCGTGTTGTCGCCCTGAACGGAGCTGGTAGTACTTGTGCTGTTACTAGGACGTAGTGACGTAGTGACTACGTCCAGGACTACGAGCACGGGTACACCAATTATGGTGATGAACTTTGATGGTTATGCTGCTATGCTGATGGCCATGATGATGACACTCAGGATGATGTGTGGGTCTGCACCAGGGGACTGGGGCGGAGCTTTTCTTTCAAGGTGTCACGTTGTTTGACGGCATGTTACCTGAGTGTGACGTGCGGAGATGCATGTGGGGATGATTGCTGTTGAGATGATGCTTCGTGCAGAGACTTCCTCGATCATGCACAGGGCATGGGACTAGACAGATTTGTCAAGAGAGTTCAGCTACTTGAACTTTCTGGGAGATGGTCATCACCAGATCATGCACAGACAGATGTAGCAGTCACGATCAGGCGTTTGTCTTCGTATGCTGCATGAATTGCAAAAGTGTTCGTTTGCCACAACAGGATCTGCCCGAGAAGAAGCGAAGAGGCGAAGAGGCTGCTCAGACTCAGGAGCTCCGAAGTTTTTTTTTTTTGTTTTTATTGCTTTCGTTTCAAGTTTTCCGCGTTCTTTTGGTGTTGACCGCTGAGAACCAGCGTGGGAACAGTGCCCAGAGACAGCCTTTTCATTGCGGTACTCGGCAACCGTTGACTCGCAAGCTGCTTGTGGAACCTGCCTTTTTGGTGCGTGCGGACAGTTCGTACAGAAACAAAGGGTGCTCCCGGCAAGCCACCAGCAGAATCTCTGGACGTAGGGGTTGCCAACACGGAGCCCAATTTTCTTGGGTGGAGGCGGATGAAAATAGTATAAAAAGGGGCTGCTGAGGATTGACACATCAATCTTTGTTAGGCTTATTTGTGTTATCATTTTCCAATGTGATTTGTCAAGTGCTTGCGAAGACGTACGGTCTGGTTACTTGTTAGGATCATGCCATCTTTGTCTCACCTGCAGCTATGATCACTCAAGACACGCCTTTGGCAGTGTCCAGGAAAAGGCCCGCCTGCACTAGGGAGTGTAGGTGTTTCCTTTCTACCTGTGTGATTATATTTACGGGATAAGCTCTGATTCGATCTCAGCCTTGCCTGCTTTGCTTGCTTGCTGCACGATCGTTTGCACCTGTGCTTTGTGACCGAGAGTTAAGTGGATTCCTCTGCTTTTCACAGGTTATCAGCCGTAGGACCTCTTGCAACGATTGTGCATCTCTGCTTGCTGCTGCCGCTTTTGCACTCGGGTCGTCCATCCGACAAGTGACTAAGGTGCCACCGATATCCTGGCGCCCCTTGCCCCGTTCGGAACCGTACCTAGTTACGCCACTGAGAGACGATGACTCCGATCGGCTCCCCACGTGTTCCCTCGACCGTTGGTTCTTCACTAGTGACACCGGTTGCTCGGGAAACTGTGGAGTCTGATAATAGTGCTCCCGCCACGCATGCCATGCCTGCCGCCTTGCCGCCGCATGTCACGCCTGCCGAGGTCGATCAGAGTGCCTTGCCGCAAGTGCCGCCGTTGCCTTGCGATGCAACGATGTCAGGCAACGCCCACGCTGCTGCCTTTTCTGCTGAGTGTGTTTTGCCTGCCTTACCGTGCTTTTCTGCGACTGCTGCCTCTGCTGCTGCCTCGTGACTCACACCCAATACGACCGACATCTACCAATCCTGCTCTCTTTCCCTTCGGGGAAATGTGGAGGGCGCCCGGACTCTCTTTGAGCTCGGGCAGGGTAACCGAGATCAGGTGATTCCGATCTCGGTGCCTTCTACCGCTCCTAGCGGTCCGATTCCAGGGTACGATATTTCGATTGATGCTGCGCAGAAAATCGCTAACGAGGTTGGTGCGATTGCGCAAAGCATCGATGACACACGTTCCGATCTCGATATCTTGAGGAACGGAGTGTCTGACGTTGCAGCTGAGTTCGATAACAAGGTCGATCAACTCTGCATCCGATTTCATGCGGAGATTGAACGAGTGACCCAAGAGTACTATCGAACCTATGATCGATTTCAGGATAGAAGTGCTGCAGATCAGGAGACTCTTCACGATCGATTCGAACAACTGAAGAGCATCCTGAATGACAAGATTCGTTAGTTCGATGAGCGAATCTTCAACCTCAGCGAGAGTAGAGCTGACTCTATATCTCATAAGTTGCAGCGAACGATAAGTGAGATTCATCGATTTCCCGAGTCTCCAACAGCTGCAAATTGGTGTGTCCAATTGCGAGGTGCGAATAGGCACCGTTGAGCAGAATGCTACTAATCGGATTGAAGCAATAAGAGTTGAAATGAGTCGTTCTCTTCACGATCACCAGAAGAGAAACGAAGCATATGTTGAAAGCTTATCTGCTAGGATTCAGTATCTTGAGGGACTCATGCGAGTTCCTTACGCTGGAGAGCCCGTGCGCGATGATCTTCGCCGGGACTCTCGATCGCATCGATCTGAGCGATCTACCCCGTCACGTACTGACGGTGTGCAATTCTACGACATCAGTGATGGTGATAGGGAGATCTCTAGGCCTGACACGCTTCCGCCACACCCGATTGGATCATTCTTTCCGGAGTCTGCACAGAGATTTCAGGCCCGCGAGCCTGAGAGGCTCCCTGAGCCACGATTCGTTCGTCGAGCCGACGATTTTAGGGGCACGTCTACTGGCGGAAATCGTGATTCCAACATTCCTGCCTTTCATGCCCCAACTCAGGCATCAGCTTCAAGATCGATCCCCTGCCCAACTACTAATTCGATTGACGCTAAAGTTCCATTGAATGATCACAGGACTCAAGCATTCATGCCACAGCATGAACCTGGACAGGGGAGTATTTCATCTGCTGCTGCTGCTGGAGCTGCTCACAAAATCGAGAGCACCTTCGCACCTCCGAGGCGCGATGTACCGACCTTCCCTTGCCAGATCTCCTACGATACGAGGACTGTGCCAAGTGGAGTAGGTCCCACTCGATGGTATGATGCCATGCTTGGTCGCACTGGATTCATCCAAGGAGCTGGACCGGTGCCTACTGTTGAAAGCGCTACTGCGACGTTCACTATCGCACCCACCGCACCCAGATCCGCACCGATTAGCTTCCGACCTTCGCAGACTGTTGCACACGATAATCGCCACGACAGTATGCGAGCATCCGCTCCTGTTCCCACATCTGCGCCACCTGGCATGTCTGGAGGAAACGATGGTCATGATTATAACAATCATGGAGCCTCCAGCGGTGGCAACCAGGGCGGTGATGGCGGAGCCTATGGCGGAGGCGGCTTTGGACGCATGCCAAGTGGTGGTGGGCCGCCAGGTGGCGATCCCCCAACGGTGGTGGCGCTGGACCCGATGGTGGAGGTCCTCCTCCTCCCCCTCCTTTCAACGACGGAGGGCTTGATCCTGCGTCGATGCGCCCGACGGGCCGTCCAGACACCTTCCAGTGCGAGAGATGTTGTGGCAGCTTTCCGATACCCATTAGGCGGAACTGCGTTGCGTGCAAGTTCGCATGTTGCGACACTTGCTGTCGTGATCCAATGCGTGTTTGTCGCGTCTGTCTTGAGCGCGCAACTGGCAACACGCCCGCTCCCAACGATTCGGGCGGCGGTGGCCCCAAGGGCGACGGTGATGCACGAAAGGCCAAGTGTAAGTCATTCAAATAACCTGAGCCGGAACCAGAGCCTGCGCAACTTCGCCGATGGATCGTTGTTGAAATGAAGGAGCGAGTTGCGAATGCATTTGCGTATGATCCTGGATACGCTCTTGCTTGGGTTGAGGTTCAGGATGGCACTCGATATGAAGATTTGAAAATGATGAGTGCAAGTACGGAATGCTCGAGAACGAGTGTAACTCTGCCTTCCGGGAATGCATCAAGTCAATTGCGCTCAAGAACAAGATTCAAACCGAAACCGAGCGAATGCACACGATTGGCAGACGGCTCGGAAGTAGGCAGATTTTGTGGCTCCTGTATGATTTCCTCAGGCCGCATGTTACGGGTGATTCAACATTTAAGATCATCGATCTCGTCAAAGTTGCGATTGACCGATTTAGATACGTGGGATCGTGACGCATCTGTGCGCAACTACGCCTATCTTCGAAATATTTGCGCCAATGCGATTACTACTTGGCGACGCAGAAAGAATCAAGAGAAAATGTATTCTGCAACCAGATCCACGTCTGCGCGACGCCATGAGGCTGCCCCTGCGCATGGTAGTCCCCGACGATCGGGATCGCGACAGGGGAGACGATCTTTCAGTCCCGGTAGACATGGATCTCGTCGTGCGAGCCCACACCGGAAGTCCTCCCCGCGGAGAGACTTTCCAAGGCGATCATCGCCCAGGAGGATCCCCCCAGGCATGGAGCATGCAGCCCTGGTAGGGCCGCGCCCGCACCCGCGCGTCGATCACCTTCTCGATCTCCAAGAGGTAGTCAGATATGCCTCGACTTTAAGCATGGTCGATGCTCGCGGGGATCCGGATGCAAATTCTCCCATAATCTGTGAAAGGACGAAGCTCATCGCCCAAGGGAGGCTTCCCTCCTCGTTCCAAGTCTCCGATTTCCGAAGAATCGGGTGAGTGCTTCTATTTCGCGAAGGGGACATGCGCCCGCGGCGATAAATGCCCCTGCAAGCATATCAAGCACAGTGCCCCAGCTGAGAGCACGGTTTCTGCCGCTCCAGCTACCGCTGAGTCAAACTCTGGTCGCCGGGTCGATAGTCCGGCGCCTGCCCCCTTCGGATTTTTGAGAGGGGCGTGCCGCAACCCTCAGGCAGATTACGCACATTCTTCCAACGACTTTGCGTTCGCTTGTGTCGCAACGATTGACTTAGCCTGCCCGTCGTCGGTTCGAAGATCAGTATCATTTGGGGATACTGAGACTCGATATATTTGCTCTCCTTCACTGATGCTAAGTTTGGGCACGTATCGCGCGAGAGGAACCTCAACTATTCGTGGCCGGATGAGATCCGTGGCTTGAATAGTTCTCGCGAGAGGCGAAGAGCTCATATGAAGGCTGTCCTTTGGAGAGAGCAAGTTTTGTTGGCGCAAA